TGTGTGTGTGTGTGTGTGTGTGTGTGTGTGTGTGTGTGTGTGTGTGTGTGTGTGTGTGTGTGTGTGTGTGTGTGTGTGTGTGTGATGACAATGTGAAAGGAAAGAGGAGAAACAGGGTGACTGTGTTTTTAAATAGCGGCTCAGAGGAGAGAAAACACTTTGGGAGAGGTGGAGGGAGGGGGGGGGGAGATGGTGGTGGTGGTGGTGGGGGGTCTGATGAGCTGAAGAGAGATAAAAATGATTCATCCCTCTGTGCACAGAATACACACTCTCTCACACACACACACAGAGCCTTGCCGAGATGCACTCTCATTTATATGTCCTCTCCCAGTGGAGAAATCTAATTGGCTTGTCCATAAATACCCCCACTCTACATCTCTCCACTAATCATACTCTGCATGTATGTGTGTAAATGTGTGTATGTGTTTGTGTGCGTCTCTTCCATGGTCAGTGTGTATGTGTGTTTGTGTGGTTCCTCAGTGCATATTTTTTCCTGTTGTATTTCAGGACCTAAAGAGTCAACACACATTTAAGATCCAGACCTACTCCAGTCCGACCTTCTGTGACCACTGCGGCTCGCTGCTGTACGGCCTCATACACCAGGGCATGAAATGTGCCTGTGAGTTCCATCGGATATAAAAAGTGTAATACGTCTGTGTCTGTGTACTTCCATTCATCGTACTATGGGGATAAAAATCTGCACAAACAGGTTCATTATTGAAATTCCCCTCCCAGCAGGTGGAAAAAAGCTCATTCCCTTACAAAGATCAGATATTTTTAAACCAATCGTTCCATATTTTTGGTGATGTGCTTCTTCATGTCCTGAGTTAGATGAGGGGGCTGGCAACCAGTTGAGATTTCAGATATCCTAGTATAATCCTTTTAAAAACTAGAATTTGTTCTTTTTTCACAGATACAGTGTGTAAAATTGTGTGATTAATAGATACTTAAAGGCAAACAGGTTTCCAGTCGTTACGCTGAGCCAAACAACAGACTGTCGCCTGTGTACTATTTAGTGAAGACAAATGACAGTGGTATCAAACTACTCATCTAACTCGAGACAAGAAAACAAATAAGTGTATTTCCTGAAACGTTGAACTGTTCCATTAAGATTAGGATTAGGGGTAGGACTGCTGTAGGTATGGTTAAGGTGCTGGGAGTTGATGGTAAATGATCTGTATTCAGAGTATATAATGCTTTTCCAACCTTATGGACAGTCTTATTTTACAGTATTAGTCAAATTCACCCGTCCACACACATTCATAAAGTCTGTGCTTCTATACTCAGCATTATTTCTAAAATACACCTGTATCTTGCCCAAAGACACAGAAAGCAGACTAAGGAAGCTGGGGATTGAACCACCGACCTTCTGATTAGTGGACGCCATTTTCCTTTTATGTGTCAGAAATTAGATGTGTGTGGGCGTAGTAGGCGGTCCACTGAACCAGAAGGTCATTTGTTTGATCCCTAGGTCCCCCAGTATACACTGACCTTGTCTAAGACACTGAACTCTCAGTTTTGGGCATATTATATACAAGTGTGTTTTTTCATACTTGTGTTTTGTGTGTCTTCATATGCTGAGGTTGTGACATGAACGTCCATCGGCGATGTGAGACGAGTGTTCCCAGCCTCTGCGGTCAGGACCACACAGAGAAGAGAGGAAGAATCCACCTGACAGTCAAAGGAGAGAAGGAGGACGTCTATGTCACAGGTGGGAGAACCTTTTTAAAGTTTTCAACACAAAAAGTCAGATTTCACGTATAATTAATATTTCTCTGTCTATACTTCCCACTTTTACACTTAATTTGCTTTCTCTCCAGTGCGGGAGGCTCGTAACCTGATGCCCATGGATCCTAATGGCCTGTCAGACCCCTATGTTAAACTGAAATTGATTCCTGATCCAAAGAGCCACAGCAAACAGAAGACCAAGACCATTCGCTCCACACTCAATCCCGTCTGGAATGAGAGTTTCACTTTGTGAGTCAGTGTTAACTTTGATCCAAGGTGAAAAAGTTACAAGGGTCTGGGACTTCATGGGGAAAAATGAAAATGTTCCAGAAACTGAGATTACAGTGTCCAAAATGACCCCGACAGATAAAGAACAGAGGATGGAATATAAAAGCAGGTTACTCAGAATATAATATACAGAATATGATCAATGAATTCATGCACTGTATCATGTATCAACAATTTTCTATATATTATTCTCAAAAGCAGTGGTGGAGGAAGTAGTCAAAGTACAAATAAACAGACATGTCTTCAAGGGTCATTGTGTTGCTTCTAAGAAAGTTTGTTTGTGTGTGTAGCTCAGTGCGTGGTCACCAGTGGGACAGGCGACTGTCCGTGGAGGTTTGGGACTGGGACCGCACGTCCAGGAACGATTTCATGGGGGCGCTGTCGTTCGGGGTGAGTGAGATCTTCAGGCGTCCCATCAGCGGCTGGTTCAAGCTGCTGGCCCAGGATGAGGGAGAGTACTACAACATCCCTGTTCCAGACCCAGACCTGCAGGTAGGACGCACCGTGTTCCTGATCAGTTAAACCATTGCATCATCCTCAAGGTGAACAAAGATTAACATCATGTAAACTTAATTTGTATCAGCTTGTAATTACCTACATCTAATAAACAGATGCTACTGCTCACACATGGGTCAGGATTTTGAACTTTCTCTCTGCTAACAATTCTATCTGAGAAAAACAAACACGGAAGATTTATGCCTGGTGTTGTAGATAAGTAATTAGATAATAAATTACATTGAGTCCCCTCCTTCCTCCGTTACGCTGTGTCTCCACCAGGGTGCAGGATTGTCCTGGCTGACTTTAATCTAAATCCAGGGGTAGGAAGGGGTTTGGTTTGCCTGGTGTTCATGTGTGTTGATGCTGTGCTGTAGTTTTATGTGCTGGACGGGATCCAGTCATTCACTTCTCAACCTTTCCTTTATGGATCACTCTCTATAGGAGCCTCAGCTGGATGCCTTAACACCCTCTCTGCCTCAAGCAGTGCCTGCCGCTCTGTCTGAACCCTTCCCTACGGCCCTGTCCCCGACCCCTGTCTCGCCCTGTCTACCCATCCACACCCCCGTCCCCAGCAAAGTCAAAGTCGGCATCCAGGACTTCAACTTCCTCATGGTGCTGGGAAAAGGCAGCTTTGGCAAGGTAAACACAGCAGATAAAAAAATGTCATCTATCCCACACACACAATTAGCAGATCTGATTCAACAGCAGTAAGTGATATCACACAGGTCATTCGTCCATGCAGAAAAACAAAGATTATTCTGGGCTTTAAATTACTTCTTCTATCGATGGACTTGACCTTCCATTGGCATTTCATTCAGCAGAAAAAGTCTCCTCTCTCACTTACATGCTCATTGTCTCCTTCCACTGCCAAATTATTAATTTAACCCTTCGCTTCTTCTGAGCTGTCAGCAGTCGTGAGCTCAGCTGGCCGCCTTCCTACTCCTGGAGGTATTTCATTTCAAGGGAGCCTCTGCTCTCCATTTTCTCTTTAATTCCCCAGTAGATGAGCCATAATGAGGGAGAGTGGAGTTTCGAGTCCTTCTTCCTCCTCTGAAATCCCGCTCTGCTGTTTCATAACTGTCAGAGGAGAGTCTACAGAGGACAGGAGAAATAGACTCGACTTACGTAAGATGTGTGAGGAAAAAAAGACCACCCAAGACAGGAGAGACAGACCCTGGGGCTGCTGAGTGAGGGAAAGTGAGAAAGAGACGGAGAGATGGAGAGTAGCATCACTGTGTTGCATAAAGTGGCAGAATGACAGAGAGGAAAGTGGATATCAAGAGGAGGAAAGAAACAAAAGGACCACACTGCTCAAAAGTTTTAGAACACCTCACTTCAAGTCCAGAGAATGACTGTAAATGTACACAGTAAAAAATTGGTTCGAACCCTGGTTTTCCATGCGGCCTCTCTGGTGGAGTGTGCATGTTCTCCTAGTTCTTCATGGGTTTTCTCCAGCTTCCTCCCACAGTCCAAACACATGTCGATTGATATGAGGTTGATAGGAGACTTTAAATTGACCGTAGGTGTCAATATGAGTGTGAATGGCTGTTTGTCAGGCGAACTGTCCAGAGTGTACTCCAGGGATCAATGAATGGATGGATGAATGAATGGATGGATGGATGGATGGACAGATGAACGGATAGACAGATATAAGAGTCCTGCTTTTATGTGAGTTAGTTTAGAAACCGCAGAGAAGGGCAGAGCAGACATGATCACAGAGGGTGACAGGATATCCTCTCCGGGAATGTCAGTTCATCAATATTCCTGCACACACAAATACAAACACTCTCTCTCACACACACACACACACACACTCACACACACTCACACAGAGGACATGCAACCTTCCTCACCTTCATGCAGCCATATTGATTTCTGACGAATGAAGCTGTGTAATTTTCTGTGCTGTTCACCACAGTTTGAAAGAACGATGAGATCCTTTATCTCCAGCAGCCAGTGACCATCACAGAACACAATCAACCAGACCTTTTACACAGTACTGCATCAGCACTTTCCAGTGCTCTTGAACATATCTGACCCATTAAACCTGAGGTCATGTGGCTCACAGTGTGGAAAATTATAGCATCATTAGCTCTCGGAGCACCATGCTGGCAGCCAGTGTCACAGGAGAAAACAGCCACTAAATATATAGTTTAATATCTGACAACATGAGAGCTGCTTCACTTTTTCATGTATTATATCAACCCGTCCTGAAATCTCCAGGCTTTTAAATACACTTATACCCTTAAACAATCATGTAAAATGACATAAATGAATCATTTTCATGCACAAACATTTATCAACAGTAGCATTTGCTTAGCATTTCATTTAATCTATTGCTAAATATTGCATAGTGCATCAATGCACAAAATCACTTTATCACAACAGCACTAATAGTTTTTCTACACGCTGGAGACACCTGCAACACTCACCATTAGCTTTATAACGAGTGTAAAACTGTTTTTGAATACTGAACACCCCCTCCATCCATCAACCATAAGCTGCTGGAGCCAATCCCAGCTGACGTTGGGCGAGAGGCAAAGTAAGCTCTGGACAGGTTGCCAGTTTATCGCAGGGCCAACATACAAAGACAAACCACCATTCACTTTCACTCTCACACCTTCCGTCAAATTAGAGTCTCCAGTTAACATAAACCCAGTCTGCATGTCTTTGGACTGTGGGAGGAAGCTGGAGTCCAACAGGCAAGCAGAGAACATAGAAACAGAAAGGCAGGGATTCAAACCAGAAACCTTCCTGCTGCTCCACCATGTCGCCTTTTATGTCAAAGCAATGAAAAATCTCTGTTGATGTTTTTCAGCATCTGCACGTCATCTTCTTTTCAGCTTGTGCAGTGTCCATAAATAAACTTTTTGTTTATTTATGGATCTCAGCAGTTGAAAGACTTTACAGTAGCTTCTTTTAAAACCAGTACTTTGTTGTAACAGTAACTCATCCTCTTTTTTGTTTTTCTGCAAGGTGCTGCTGGCGGAGGAGAGAGGCAGCGAGCGTCTGTTCGCAGTCAAAGTGTTGAAGAAAGACGTTCTCTTCCAGGACGAGGACACGGAGAGCGCCCTGGTGGAGCGGAGGGTCCTGGCGCTCTCCTCTCGCCCTCACTTCCTCACATCACTCTACTGCGCCTTCCAGAGTGAGGTGTGTGTGTGTGCATCTGTGTGTGTGTAGAAGTTGTGCAGGGTCGGTCTCAAATGAACCACATAACTTTCATTAAATCGTCCATAAACCTGTCTGACATTTGGTCTGTGTAGTTCTCCCAGGAGTTGTTTGAGTCCAGGTTGGCTGAGAATTTCGATTAATAAATGAAATAATTAGCTTGCTTTCTTTAACAAGGTCCTCGGTCCTGGCGGAGGGGTTTTAACAGATTGCTTTTTAATTTGGACAAGAGGTCATTATGTATGGAGACTGTGTGTATGTACGTGTGTGTGTCGTTTCTGCAGGACCGTCTGTATTATGTGATGGAATACGTCAACGGAGGAGACCTGATGTTCCACATTCAGATAGTTGGCAAATTCAAAGAGCCTCATGCAGCGTATGTAGTTTAAAAAGCTCTTTTCTTTTTTACCTTTAATCACAGTCCACATCTACAGCCTCTCATTTCCTGCCTTTTTCATAAAACTCTCTGTTCCTTTGCACACACCCTCGTCTCTTGCCTTTGTTCATTATTCTCCTCGATTCATAAAAAGTCATCAACTCAAGTACCGGCCCTCATCTCTTTCCTCCCGACTTTCTCCTCCCACCAATCTCACCTTTTCATCTACATTTTCCCTCCCCCTGGCTGTTCATCTAATCAATAATCTTTGATCAATCATCTAAAACTAATTTGTGCTCTGACACTCATTTCCAGCTCCCTTTCTTCATCTTTTTTTCCATCTTTCATCTCTTTGGTTACTGTCCCTTTCATCACCCTCTCAAGCTCCACTCCCTCTCTACTCTCCTCTCCTCTCCTCTTCATCCCCTTTTGAATTAACTGAAAACACAAAGCAACCAATAGCGTCCCCCACCCCACCTCTCCACCCTCATCTCCCCTCTCCTCTCCCTGCAGGTTCTATGCAGCAGAGATAGCAGTGGGCCTCTTCTACCTCCACAGCAAAGGCATCATCTACAGGTAAAGAGCAGCGCTGCTCGTCTAACGTGGCCTGGTTTGGTGCTGTCGCTGCTCTGACACAGATTTATCATGTCTTTTCTGGCTAATGAGTGTTGTAAAGGTGTTATCTATCAAAATGATTCATACCTGTGCGATCAATCTTGCTTCTCTCGCAGGGATCTGAAGCTGGATAATGTGCTGCTTGACAGCGAGGGCCACATAAAGATAGCCGACTTTGGGATGTGCAGGGAGGGCATGTTCGAGGGCGACACCACTCGCACCTTCTGCGGCACCCCTGATTACATCGCCCCCGAGGTACACTGACACCTGCCCTCTGTCCACAGTTGCTCCCTCATTTCCTCGTGTTTCACCCCTCGTTGTTTGCTTGACCTGTGTTTGCAGCGAAGTGAGACTATATGTCGCGTCGCTGCTGCAGCTCCTCTCGTCTTCTCCGTCCTGCCTGACCTTGTCAGCATTTTTGAATAATTTACTTCCCTTAATTCAGTTAGTAGTGGTGTGTGTCTGTGTGTGTGTGCTTGTGGACATTACATAAATCATAACTGTCCTTCAGAAACCCTGTATTACCACGTTATCCCTTTTCTTTCTGAATTTTTTAAGTCTTTCTTGAAATAAAATTCAGGTGCAGTTACATTCACTGGTACATTTGTTTGCACTAAACAAGATACTTCTATTGTGTGAAGTGCAAGAGTCCTTGTGCCAAATGATTTCTAAAGTTTATTTGAAGCTAACAAGAGGTTTCAGAAGTCTGAAGTGGATATATCATTAAAACAACCATCGTAGTGCAAGATTTCAAACATCCCTCTTTGTATTTCCTCTGGCTGTGTGTCTGTACAGTGGAGGGATAGTGAGACGAAAAGGGAATTTTTAATTAACAAGACTATAACTCCTTTAACTCAGACCCCTGATGTCTCATATTAGTTTGTTTTGTACATTATTTTTACACAGAAAACGGGTTTGTGAATTTGGGATTTTGTCCTGCATCACATCACACCTGACACATGTCTGGAAACTATCTTGTAATGGCCAGTATGCTACATTCTGAAGCATCAGAACTTGTTTCAGTGTTCATATACGACGGCTGTGTCTCAGTAGGAGCTGATTTTCCATTAACCAAAGGTCGGCAGTTCGATCCGTGCCTCCCCCCTCCGCCCAGTGTCCTCATGCAAGACACTGAACCTCAATTTTCCACTGATGGCTGTGCCTGCAGTGTGTGAATGTGTGATTAGGGAGGGAAAAAAGTGCAGCATGTAGTCGTGCCGTATAGGTGAATGTGACTTGTTCTGTAAATTGCTATATAAATACAGTCCATTTACCTGCTCTTGTTTTCAATCCATCCTTTAATGTTCATACGCTCACTCACAGAGTTCAGACCGAGTGAACTATCGCAAACCGATATAATAAATGTCAACGGCACATATCATCTCCTCTGAAATGCTTTAAACAGTGGAGGTGATTTTGCTTGACACGCTTTTGATATGTAAAATATCTGCATGCTGTATGTTTATGTTACAAATCCTGTGAAATATCTGTGTGTGTGTTTCTGTGTGAAGTGGTCACACACATTAATTCAGCGAGTGTGTGAAGCAGATATCCAGCCTGTTTGATTTGTGGACTGGTAGTAGACAGATCCAGTGAAGAGAGGAAGAGAGGATGTGACTGTTGTGCACGTCTTTGATATTGTAAACCTCGCAATGGAACCCCTGGGTATTGACTCTCTTATGTAAACACCCATTGATTCTCCTGGATCTGCCATTTTGGAAGAGATACAATATATTTCCCCAGGGGCTGGGGATTGTGCGCACAGACACACACACACACCAGGGAAACAAACAAACACCAAAACATGCAAACATGTGCACATACACACACACAAGCAGGCAAACGCACAAATCCAAAGTCATGTGTTGATTATTTCTGAGCTCATTCATACTTTTACCCTCCCTAATGCCGCACTCTCTCTTTTTCCTCTCGCTCGGCTTTTCAAACCGGCTGTTTATCCTCTGAGCAGCCGACTGCTACAACTCGGCTTTCTCTCACTCTCCCTGTCTTCCTTTCACTTCCTTAACTCTGCACTGTTGTCCTGCTCCTTCATCTCCTTTCCTCTTTTCTCTCCATTCTTTTCAGATTGTGGCATACCAGCCCTATAATACAGCAGTGGACTGGTGGTCTTATGGGGTGCTGCTGTATGAAATGCTGGCAGGACAGGTAACAGTCGGCTTAATCCTATCATAGACCCATGTGCACACTTAAGCTTAAGCCTTCAGTCCTTTGTAATCACTTTCCAAAGAACTTACATTTCAATATATTTGCTCAGATCCTCATGGCTGCTCTCATTTTTTGTAACTTCTCTCTCTGTCTCTGTCTTTTCCCTCTAGCCCCCGTTTGATGGTATCGATGAGGAGGAGCTGTTTCAGTCCATCATGGAGCAGAGCGTGTCGTACCCCAAGACTCTCTCCCGTGAAGCTGTTGCCATCTGCAAGGGAGTGAGTCATACATTTGCTCACAGATAATTAAGATAATTCTATGTGTAAATCAGAAACATGTTATGAACCAACAACACATTATAGGATATAAGACATAAGATATAAAAAACTTAAATTCAACATTTTAGGAAACGTGCATATCTGCTTTCTTGACAGGAGACTGACACCACTCTCTTAAGATGCTATAGCTGCAGCAGCTGTTACATGAACTCTGCCTCCATTCATAGTGCACACGCAATCAAGATAACTGTGCATTGACATAAGAAGAAAAATCACATATCAGAGAAATAAATAAAGCAAAGCAAGTGTATAGGCCCTGATTATAGTCATGCTGTTCTTTTCTTTTCTCTCATTTTTCCCTCCTCCTCTCCTCCAGCTTCTGACAAAGCACCCTGCGAAGCGTCTGGGCGGAGGAGAGGACGCAGAGAGAGAGATTAGGGAGCATCCGTTCTTCCGCTGGATTGACTGGGACCGTCTGGAGAGACTGGAGATGCCGCCGCCCTTCAAACCCAGAACTGTCAGTTTAACAGATGGACTCCACAAATCCCTTTCGTTCTTTCTTTTTTCCTTTCTTTAGTTCTTTCTTTCTTTCCATGCCCCCTTGTCAATGCAAGGTGAAACAGGAGATAGTTCTCGTTGGCATCCATATAGTTAAAATTATTCATTCTTCTTTGCAGAATACATATGATGTGAGCTTTGCTTTTTTTCTTAATGGTGGGCGTAATGTTTTGGATGGTCTTGTTGATCATAATAATTCTGTCCCCAGCTTCTGATGTAAGCAGTTATTTCCTCTCGATCCAGTTTCTCTGGCCGAGAGCCAGTTCTTTGGCTGTCGAAACACAAAGAACTGGTCTGAGATCAGACTCTGGCTCCGACCCGGCCCTTGAACTTCCTTGGTGTGGAGAAGGGGAATTAGAGAATTGAAGCTGTCACTTCTTTCCATCTGTCTCCTTCTATCTCTCCGTCTCCCTGCGTTGTTCTTCTCTCAGCCCCCCACTTTATGCGTGCCATTCCACCCCCTCCTCTCCTCTCCTCTCTGTTCTAACAACCCTCTCTCCCTCCCTCTTTCTTTTCTCTCTTTCATCACCTCTGCTGGATCCTGGAGATGGGCTCTGAGCACTCGGGCACAGACAGTCCAGTCACAACAGACAGGCCCCTCTGACCTTGAGGTCCTTCTTTCTCCTCCCATATGCAAATGTGTGTCATCATTAGCCTGCCACACACCGGTCTCTGGCCTCCGCCGGCCAGCGGTGAGGTGTGCCTTGATTGAGCTGAGTGTGCTCTGGGGTTAGAGGCCAGGCCCATTAGCTAAATGAGATTCATACCATCCAGCAGAGCGACTGTCTTATTCTGTAAAGGAGCAGGAGAAGAGACGTGAGCAGCTTCCTGCCGACAGGTGGTGAGGTAGACGGCTCCTCAGAGGGGAAAGTGGGTGGTGGATTCCTCACATTATTTATTTTGGCTCTTATTCAGGAGGAAGTTTAATGTGGGTATGATCAGTATTAATCCTGCACACATCTTCTTCATCTTAAATGCACATGCCTTCTTTTTTCTTTTCTTCATCAGGGCGGAAAAAAAGGTGAAAACTTCGACAAGTTCTTCACTGCAGCTCCGTCAGTGCTCACTCCCTCCGACCCGGACATAATGGCAGCCATCAACCAGGAAGACTTCGAGGGCTTCTCCTTCCTCAACCCAGACTTTGCCCCATCGCCTCTCACCGCTGTTTGAAAATAGCTCCCACACCCCTTTTAAATGTAATCCCCTTATTAATAGTAGTTTTATAACAGAGAATTTGAAAATCAAACTCCTCTCATAATCAGATTCTGACGTTTACATGAAACTGCCATGACGCCTATGTATCCATGCACTCTATTTGATGTATGTATTTCATCTCGATAGTCTCAAGGCAATTATTATAGATTCCCATTTTAGAGTTTCTTTTTTTGTAAGACGTCCATTAACTTGATATAAGATGGCTGTAGTGTGACTGTAGTATGATCACATACTTCACCTGTATGCATGCACTGTTTGTAGAATGAACTACTAGGAATAGATTATCCAAGAAAGATAGACAACCGATTTATTTTAAACATTTCCCACTGTTTTGATGAGCATCATCTTGTGTTGTAGAAACCAAACAAAGACATTATTCCAGTCGGCTCTTCTCTCATGCAGCTGTGGTTCAACTCCAGGTAGTGGGCAAATCAAGTCCATTTTTAATCACTTTTCATTTCACATACACAAGTTTTCCTAAGAGGTCTGCTCCAGTTTAACACGACACAGTAACTCGGCATCCAAACCACTTTGGTATTTCAATACTATGATGCGAGCTGCATGGGCAATAATGGCATCCCATGGAAGCATTCAGTCAGGTTCCTGTGGCCCGGCTGGACCTCTCGGTTAACGTCACACCAGCGACCTCCTGTGACCCAGTGAGACAGTGAAACAGCTCAGTGGGCACAATGTGACGCTTAATGCAGGATACAGCGCTGCCCTGCAGCTCAGGCACACGCTGCCAGGAGGCCGTCCTCACATTGCTGCATAATTTTTTTCTTCACAGATTAGTTTTGCCTCGTGTTTTTTTTCTATTATTCCTTTGCAAATTATGGAATTGGGCCTCGCAAATTACAATATATGCCCTCCTTTGCAAACCTTACATTTGCACTGAAATATTTGTTTGCTTATTTGGAAAAAATGCCTCTGGCCACAGCTAAAACAGGAGAATTATACTTTGCGCAGGTACATATATACTTATGTATTTTAGTAGTGTGTACCATGAGGCTTTTTGCTGTGTAATGACACTCGCAGCATTGATTAGGGTGTAATTAAAAGTGAGGCTCGCCGGGACTGTTCAATACATGGAAAAATAATAGCAGCACTGTCATTAAACACTATCTGAGCAGGGCAGGTGGCAACAAACGTACAGTTTAATAATCCCATTACAGAGCTCTTATCTCACAAAGCAGACGGTCATTTCACACAGAAATCTGCTCCTTCTTCCTGAATGCATCTTTATGACTTTTTTTTTCTGTGAAGGCAAAAAGATAAATTTAATGATTTCTCATCCCGAGGAGAATAATCCTACTTTTTTTGTTTTAAGTGCTGATGTTCATGCCCATGTAACTGGTGAGAGTAGTCAATCTCTTTGCTTTAGCTTTGTTTCACACAAAACTTATGAAACATTACATTTACAGTAGACATTTCAAACAATTACAGATAAGCAATAGATCAGTTATAAATATTCTTTAGTTCATTTCTGTTTTTACGTGCTGGAAAAAAAGAACGTTGAAATAAAGTCTCGGGGAAAGAGAGTCATGGAACGAGGTGTTTCCTTCTGTGATGTTTGTGTGAAGCCACTGATAAACAAACATGCATCAGCTTTGTCTTCACCACACGCCTCTTCGTCACGCTCACTTTTCACACATACTCACACTCACAAGTGCAATCACAGCAATGTAGACACACACACACAGCGAGAAGATGCTGACCCCTCTATTTACTGGGGTGCTGTAGTTGTCGAAGCAGCAAATCCACCTCTCGGGCATTACACTCTCACTCCCCTCTCCTCCTCCTTCTTCCTGTCGTCCTCCCTCCCTTCTGCTCCTCCCTTCCTCCCTCCCTCCCCTTCAGCATCATGATGGGACTAATATCCCCATAGAGATCTGAGTTATAACAAGTTGACCTTCACTTTAAAATCTCATCAACTTACAATCTCCCTCTCCGCCTCCCTCCCCTCCTCTTTATCTGCCCTTCATCTCTCTCTCTCTCTCTTCCTCCGCTGTTTGTCTTCAGTGTCAGTGCCGCACTGTAAATGCTTTACTGTGTTGTTTCCTCTTGTCCTGTGTAAAATGTAGAATTTATTGTGGTTGCTGTTATCTTTGAAACAACCCTGCTGTCGTGTGTTGATACAAGTGTCTCGTCATGTCGTATTTTATCAATATTATGATCTGTTTTACACATATACTTAATATTCTCTCTCTCATGGCGTACAAGACAGTGACACACTGAAAGGGCTGCAGAGGAGAAAAACAGATGAACACAGTTTGTGCTGTGATATAGTTATTTAATAGTAGAAAGATTTAAACTACAAAAACTATCATCAATAATAAATATAATGTAAAGGTGAATTTTTACTGTCAAACATCTGGACAAACATCCAGATGTTCTTTATGTAATTCATTTTTACTAATCATGTCCAGATGTTATTATGACTTTCGTATTTAGTCCTGTGAGGAGGAAATTACGAGACATAGCTTTTATGATGGCAGATGAGGCTTATTAATAATCTCTGTAACACACAATAGGTGAATTATATCAAACGGATGCATTTCACACTGAATTTTCTTCATCTTTAAAGAAAACAAAACTGTTATAAATAGATTTTTTCTGAAAACGTTTTTTTTCATAATTTTTTTTTCAGCATGATATAAACCTGTTTTTGACGTCTCATTTCAAACTCTACACAACAACCTTTACTCCAACCTTGACATTATATGGAGCTGGACCTCCAGTGCCCACTGATCGGAGCTGTGTGTGTGTGTGTGTGTGTGTGTGCGTGCGTGCGTGCGTGCGTGCGTGCGTGTGCGCGTGCGCGTGTGCGTGTGCGCACACAAACCATCACTCACTGTCACTGTGACATGATATCATCCCTCATCTTCACTGCTGCCTCTTCTTCCTCCAGCTCCATCCCTCCTCTGTTTCTGTCTCTCATTGTCACCCCCCCCCCCCCCCCTCCTCCTGTGCTCATGCCCTGAGGTCAGAGTGTGCTGCAGACTATTGATATCGTTACTAAAAATATAGGGTTCCTCCACCAGCCGGCTAAAAATAGAGCAAGGGACATAGACCACAGGAGACATAGGAGGAGCGGGATGAAGAGAGAGCGATTGTGTTGCTATTTCAGTGCTATTCACTTCTATCGAATGAAGGTTAAATGTCTTATCAGTCTTGAAAGAACTATAGTGTCCATAGAGGACTTGTGATCCATGTGATGTTTTCTACTTCCACCTGATAGAAATGTGAATAAAATATAATTTGACCTGAAGTTTGCAGCCTGTTTCCCCCTCTCCACTCCAAATCTGATCTAGTGCCCCATCTCACATATGTGTCTCTGGACTACTCCAAACTGAATTTCAGTCTATGAACATTATCACGATAAAGTACAGTGCTGCCAATGCAGGTTGTTTACTTCAGTTTCTAATGTTTTTAAAAGATAGAATTAAAGACAATTGTAGAAAAAAAGTGCGAATTAGAAAATCAGCAACACAAGTGGCAGCAAAATCCACTTGTTACTGAAAGTATTCAGTAACATCATTTAACATAGATTAAGAATTAATTTTCTTTGTGTTACTCTAGTTATTTTAATTATCAAAAAAGGTTTTAAGATGTGAAAGGTAGAAGGGTTTGCAAATGAAAATTAGCCTTTCAGCTAACTTGGGTGCATTAACATTCACATGAATGTCGATTAATGGACAGTGTTGCTTTTGAAAATAAGAATAAATTGACAAAACATTAATGCACAGGAAAATCTAAATTGTGTCTCATATAATGAAGTTATAAAACAGGTAGTGATGGATCGTGTTTGCACAAACTCTCCATCGTTCAGCATGATACCACTGCACAGTACACTTCAATGAAAGAACGATAAAGACAAAGACAACATATTTGAAGAGGGCTTGATAGGATGAGATGTAATAGTTTGACCTCTCTCTCCCTCCCTCCCTCCCTCCCTCTTCCACTCTCTCACTCTCTCTCTCCCCCTCTCTCTCCCTCTTCCTATCTCTCTCTCTCTCTCTCTCCCTCCCTCACTGCCTCTTCCTATCTTTCTCTCTCTTGCTGCCTCTGCCTCTCCCTCTCTGTCCCTCCCTCCCTCTCTCTCTGCCTCTCCCTCCCTCTCTCTCTCTCCAACACTTCTCCCCACTGCTGCCGCTACAGTATGTCTCTGTTGTAGCCAAAGTAGCTTTTGCTGAACCGAGCCACCGCAGTGCCTGGGACACACTGAGTGGAGGAGAGAGTGGGGGATTCGGAGGATGGATAAGGGGGCTTCAGGGTAAACACCGAAGAGAGAGAGGGAGAGAGAGAGAGGGAGGGAGGAAATAGTGAGAAAGACCAAAAATCCACCAAGCCTCCCTGGTGTGAGGTTTCTTGGCTACTGACTTGTGCGCACGACTCTCGTGGCAGGGTGAGTATTTTCTTCCTTCTGAATAACACTCGTGTGTGCTTGCGTGTGAGCGTGCGTGGGGGTTTTATTGGCAGTAATTGTGATGACGACGCCTTTGCAGCCTGACTTAGTCATTTTAAATGCGCGTGTGTGTGTGTGATGACAGCTGTGGAAAGAGCAGCGTTCATGTCGTGCCCGCGTAAAGACGGACGCTCATCAGCTCCATCTGAGGGCGCACAGGAAAACCACCTCTCGCGTACATGTATATTCACTCCCTGCGTGTTTGATTAGCTCCCAAATGTGTGTGCGTGAGTCGCTCACATGTTCCCTCCTCTGTTTATCATCTCCAAACTCCGCGTGTGAGTGTGTGTGACAGCGGGTGTGGGGGCGGGGGCTCCTCCAAACAATCCCCTGCGCACATCCCTGCTTCATTCACTGATCCCGCTCCACATACATGAAGTTAACACTGGATCTTCATGCTCCGATCTGCTGCAGACTTTTTTTTTTACCACGGAGTCCCTGCGCAGCTGAAATGACAAAATCAAGAGCAAACCACTGAGTCACGATATTTTCCTTTGAGTCGTTATGGAGTCATTTATATTTTCCTGATGAGTGATCGCAAGCCCCCCCCCCGGTCTCACATCTTCAGACGCTGCACAGTCAAGGTTGGTTAGTTTAGCGCAAGTGTGTGCGCGTCCCCGTGGTGCTCGTCCACGTTGCTGGGTACTCCTACCATTTTTTGGGCCAAGGTCTTTTCTCTGACTGATTCTGCTCCCTGTTCTCCTGCCTGTTCTCCTGCCAGTTTCTACACTCTCCTCTTTCTGCTGTTTTCCCTGCCTGGATATTTTCAGCAGCTCATCCGTCACTCCCTCTTTTCCTCAGTGTCCCTCTTCCCTGATAGACTTGGAGGTGATGTCAGTCTGTGCAGAGAATTAAACCCTTTGTCCCCCTTGTGGCTCCTATCTAACCAATTCAATTGGGCTCATTACTTTCTGGGTGAGGGAGCTGAGGGGCCTGTCTCGCTGCTCCAGAATAGGATTGTTATCACAACTCTAACAGGGGAAACTGATTTTTCTTTTCACTCAATCTCAATCTCAAGTCAACAATGGCTTTTCCTCCAGCGATGTTAGCACAAAACATGGTTACAGGAGGAGAACTTGTCCCTCTCTTCTTTTTACTTCCAGTAGAAACCATCAGTGTGTATTTCATGTGCTGGGGGGGTTTCTGGGAGAGATGAGGGAGCTGTCCGTGGTGCTGAACTACTCTGAAGGAGCCACTCAGGCACGTCCACTCGTTTTTTTGCAGTGTTGCAGCTCCAATTGATTTCACACTCATTCCTGACCACTTTGGCACATTCTCTCAGATGCTGGGAGGTGTGATCCTTCATCCCCCAGTCAAACGTCCTCTTCGCTCCCGGTCATCTTTCTGTCTAACCCCCTTCAGTGTTTTTTTTGCAGAGACTTTACTTCGAACTCTCTCATTCACTCAGGCTCAAACCTTCATCGACTCTTTTTTTTCTCCCCCATCCTCTGGCCTCACCCCTTCTTGTCCCCCCGTCCCGAGAGTCAGCAGCAGTAACAGACACTGTCGGGGCCTGCTGAACGATTCAAGAACTGCTGATTAAAGAAGAAAGAAAATGATGAAAAATGAATGAAGCTGACATGACGCAGAGAAATCCATAAAGATCTCAGCTTCACAGAATAAATGAGTGTAAAGCAACTTATATGCCATACATGTGTGGCCTTTGCCTGACTCCTGAGTGGCTCTTATTTAAGTCTTTATTAATAGTCACTTCTTCAAATCAGATGTCATCGCATGCACTTTATCTTCTTAGAAATAATATGTTTTAAGTCTGTCTTTCATAACAGATAAGACACACATCTTTACTACACAATATAGGAATAATGTTTTTTTAATTCATGTGATTATGGCATAAAAAACATTCAAATTACAGTGTGCCCTCTTTTTCAAAAATTACATTTGCACTGAAATATTTGTTTTCAATTTATAAAATGTACCTTTAACTAATGTTATTAAATGGAATGAAATGATGTATCCCATCAGCAACTCACGCCATACGTCGCCAGTTTCTTTCAGCCTTAATATGCCCAAAGAGGAGGATTTCACAGACGTGTAACCTTTACCACTGCAACAGCTCTATTCATCCCTGCAGCTGTAAAGAAACTCAAGTTACTTCTATAGTGGTCACATCTTGTGCAGCGTCTGTTCAGATAAGATGAGGCCGAGTTTAATCTTTAAGAGTTTATTACCCTCGACAATTATCGTTTCTATTATAACTCCGCTCCTGAAAGGCTCAATGGCTTTTCAAACAAAGGAGGAAGAGAGGAAGGATAAAGTGCTCATTATGTTATATTACTTCTTTTTTGTTAAGGGTGACAGATAGATTGTCAGTATCAAATTAATTAGTTACTCAGTGTTTGACAATGCACAACATAGAGGTGAAACATATTTGAAGTATCAGTTATTTTGTAAGATTCAGATTATTTTGCCTGTAGCCAGCCATGTAAGTGAGTGATGCTGGTTTCCTTTATTTTAAATTGTGCTCCTGTTGTAGTTGTGACTGAGTCTTGAATACCTGCTCTTTGTCACCAAGCTGGCACATTCATCATCGTTCTTCGCGGCCGTGCCTGTGTGCCACCGGTCAGCTACTACTGTGTCACGTTCAATTTCAAGTGACGTAATGAACTTGAATGTCTGTGAAATACAGTGTGAGAGTCACAGATGCGTGTAGAGACAAAAAATAAATATCTGCAGCAAGTGACAGATGTTATAGATGTTATCAAATCAGTCTGGGCAGAGCTCCAGCTGAAACTATGAAAGGCCATACAATTCTATCAAGTAATGTGTACTTAGACGATGCAGGTTCATTAACATGGGAACATTTTCAAGTAATCATATGAAACATGGTTTAAAACACTGGGTTATATGTGGGAAAGTACAAACGAGGGCCCGTTACACTCACATACAAATGTATCAAAATAACAATGAAGCCAACTTCTCACAGTGGAATATATGAGGTTGTTGGATTACACTGATGATCATCCCATTGTCCCATTATAACACATGATGTACAATATACCTCACAAAACGAGGCTGATTAAAGTATATACTAACCCTGCTCTGTGTTTCCCACGTGCATTTACTCCCCCTGACTTGTCAAGATGATGCTACTGAACAAATGAAGCAAAAGGGCCAGTGGCCGGGGAATTACACACACACACACACACACACACACACACACACACACACACACACACAGATATACAAAAAAAATGTGCATAGAAATGCACAGATTCATACAGACAGCACGCTCAGAAGCTCTGCAGTGAGGTCTCTCTCTGTCAACCAGAACTAAGTCACAGAAAGACCATGTGTGAGTCATTCAGGTTCTCTCCTTCCCCTCGTGATCTCGTGTGTGTGTGGTCCAGGTATTACTCATGTTGTGGGGACCTAAATCTGTCACATTAAGAGGACTTGTCTTTCTTATGAGGACAAAAACCAAGTCCACTTAATGTTAATCATTATATTTTGAGTTGAAGACATGTTTAAAGGTTATAGATTAGGTTCATGTTAGGATATTTGTTAGGGTTCGGCAATGAGTAACTGGTTAAGGTTAGAGGAAATCAATGTAAGTCAATGTGACTCTTATTGTGTGTGTTTCAGTTCTTCAAGTCTTTGCCCATAACTTCACTGGTTTACCGTGTTTAAGTCATCATCTGTTGCGTTGGTTCCTCTCTGACCTTTAACACGATTGGATGCCAGTGGATGTGTCATTAACTCATCTTTAGCAATAACGAGGCAAGACAGGGAAACAGCCAGTAGCAGTTTGCATGCGTGCACATCGAGTGTTGCTCTAAGTGCACCTAATCACCCCCTCCACCCCCACACCCATGACCTCTTTCAGGTTACCCACATATTTTCATCTCTGCAGGTTTCATGTATTCCCCTCTTTACCTCTAACTCTCCTCGCCCCCTCGCTCTGCCCTCCAGATGAGTTCGTGCAGCAGCCGTGCGTTGACCATCCTGTCCACAGTGTTCGGAGCCTGCGGGCTGCTGCTGGTGGGGGTGGCCGTGTCCACCGACTACTGGCTGATCATGGTGGAGGGCATCATCCTGCAGCAGAACCAAAGCATGGAGGTGAAGATGGCACTGCACTCAGGCCTCTGGAGGGTTTGCTTCGTGGCCGGTAGGAATATACATGTTTGAATATTCAAAAATTGAAAGACTCACCCTAACCCTGCACAATCTGATACACAGTCACACAGTGCTGCTATGTGTGTGTGCACAAGCTGCTGGCCTCTGGAATCACAGCTGTCAAAAAATATGATTGTTACCTGTGAGCACAGACCTACATGCTTTTTTGGTTTTGTTTTGTGTCTACGTGCATCACTGACTTTGACTGATTTTTTTTCTCTCTTTCCTCACAGGGTCAGAGAATGGGAGATGTGTTGCCTCAGAGTATTTCACTGAACCCGATATAGAGATTACCACTGAAAACACAGCGAATATCCTAAGTGAGTAAAACATGGATTAACGCAGTGACATTACACATCATCCACTGTGGCTGTGAGAAACCACAGAGTCCCCCTGCTGATTGATTGTGGCTACTGTAATTTGAGCATCATTTTATTAGAGCTGCAATGATAAGTAGATTGATGATAAACTGAAAATTAATTTGAACCTCTTGGGATAATTGATTAAGCGTCTGATGTCTTTTTTTATGGTAGTGTTAAAATTATGCAGTTGCAGTTTCTCAAGTTGGAATGTTCTGTTTGTCTTTGTTTTATATTATTGAAAACTTAATGTTTTTGGGTTATGACTGCCGGTTGAACTAAATGTGAGTTTTACATTATACATCACATTGGATTCTAGGAAAATTTAAAGGACCTCTTGTCAAGCACAACCCACAATATCTGATGTTTTTATTACTTTAACAAAAAAAAACCTCTTTCCCATGAGGGTACATCACAACATGCTGTGCATACATTACATTTAGATTGTAGTTACTAATATGCTTGGACATTATCATTTCTAGCAGGTAAAGGACACATCCCATCAACTTTGTTAAACACTGTGACCTCTGTCTCTCTACAGAGATGGTGCGTACGGCCACACCCTTTCCGATGGTGTCGCTGCTCTTCGTCTTCACCGCCTTCGTCATCAGTAACATCGGACACATCCGGCCTCAGCGCACCATCCTGGCCTTTGTGTCCGGCATCTTCTTCATCCTCTCAGGTGGGAACCATTACTCATGTCCCCCCATCACCACTCCCTGACTCTGTGACGGATTACAACTGCCTGGAGTGTCCTGTGTCACATGTGCAGACGCTCCATCGCAGCACTATTTTTAGTGTTTGATGCAGGTGTGTACACTGTTATCAGGAGAGCTGAGAAGATTCGTTTTCATGACACCTGCATGGTGAGAGTTTTCTGATCCTTGACTTTGCACAACTCTGAAATGAAATTGACTTCCTCAGATTCCCATTAAAGACTTGAGGAGCACTAAATAGAGCATACACTTTCACCAAGGCCCAACAGTCTCCAAATTTCACATGCTCATAAATATCAGTCCTCTAAATGTGCCAGATTTTTTTTTCATCAAGAGCCATAAATTATTCTTTGGGAAAACGGTGAAAGTGTTAAAAACGCCCAGTCTATTAGAGAAAGTGAAAAAAACAATCCTGGATCCATCCACTGGTTCTCATCAGCACCAAACTGTGTGACTCATACAGCATCTTTCACCAAGTTCATGGAAATCATTTTTGGTTGTTTTTGTATAATCTTGCTTGACAGGGGCAAATGGTGAGTGGACTTCTCTAGTCTTGATAACCATTCGAACTTCCGACCCTCTGATCAATTTGAACCACTCTACCTCCTTACCCACAAGCAGATGGAAACATGACCTCCTTGGTGGAGCTAATAATAGCAAAAGAATCAATATGACACAAAACAATATTCAGTAGGTTTTTCTTCTCTGTGTAGCTGGTTCTCTGGATTAGTGTAATTAACCTTCTTGGACAGCAGGTGGCTGTAATGCTTCCACTTCCTGTGACCAGTGTGCAGAGTACAGAAGTGTCAGGAGCCACAGTGGAGCTCATGTTCTGTGAAAAGCTGCTTCACTCGACATGTTTGAGAATAAGGCAGCGCTGCAGAGCTGTGACGTTGGGCATCAAACGCAGTCTGATACGACAGCTCCGACTTTCCATAGCAGCCCTTTGCTGATAAAGGGTGCAGCAGAATAATAGGTGTTATGTAACGGGGGTTATGTAATGTTCATAGGCTGCAGGAAGTGTCGCAGTGTTTTACTTTATGAGGTATTTTCATAATAGGGTGATAATAAGGGGCAAGCATGTCAAATTGCTTTTCAGCGGTTGAATATTCTGCCGCACTAAGCCTCTCTCTCTAAACACTTCCTTCCTCCTGCTTCCCATACTCACCCCTCACTCACCCCCACCTCCCTCATTCAAGCAGCCTCTCAATGTTCTCAACCCCCCCCCCCCCCTTTTCTCCCTCCTCTCATTTCCTGCTCACCCCTTCACTTGGAGTATTTTCTTGCAGTATTCACTGTGGACCTCTGTGGTGGTGTCTGTGGACCATTGAGTAATGTGAACCTTATTCTGTTGGCACCATAGTGGTCTGATGAATATTGTAGCTCGGGTTTGTGGTGTTCTGGTTAATTTTACAGGCAGCAAAACACGCAGCATGGAGCCACAGCTGTTCAAGCTCGGTTAGAGGCTGATTTCTTCCTGTGACTTTTTGTTTCTCTCTGGCAAACACAACACACACATCGTCTTGCACGTGCATTTGTTCCTGCAGACACTTCATTTATTTTACATTCTTTTCCCTTTTTTTCTTCTCACACTTTTCTCTTCTTTCATTTGCCCTCAGTGTTCTCGTTCATGTCTTTGCCCCTCGGTTTTCTGGTGTTACTTATTTAGATGAAGATGTACTGTACATCCTCCGCAGGATTGACAGCAGCATGGTTTCTGCATTTTCCGTGCTTTTCAATGTTAAACCGACAACACAACCTCTTAAACCGACCCTTCGAGTAAAGGACATAACCGTTGACAGCCCTGTGGTTCACTTGAATATTCCAGTGAAAGCTAAAAATACTCATATTTGATGCTTACAGCATGCAGCTTTCTTTGAATATTGATTCTTCGATGTTGCCCATATGTTGTTTCTCATGCATTTAAGATTTGGAAGCAGCGTATAGAGCATGTGATGGTTTCTGAAAGAGGAAGGGGGTTTAATGTTGCATGTGTTGCTTCTGGGTAAAAGGGTCTGGGTGAAAAGGCATTTCTGTTTTTTCATATAATTACTATGGTGAATACATAAACACACTGAATTTTACAGAGAACACTGCAGGCGGGTCTTACTAAATCTCAGAAAGTGTGTCAAGCCATTTTCACATTTTACTTCCTTTTTTGAATATATCTTTATTATGATTATGTTATATTAGGATGAACCAAATTAAAAAGGGATAAAAATATCACATTACAAGGCTACAAGTAGATTAAATGCATGTGTCTATTGGGATACGTTTATTCAAATTAAAAGTTAAAAGGATGTCCATAGAATGTTTTAAGAGAAACATAGGCCACTTTACTTCTTTTAGTCATAGCAGTAAATTTTGACCCGATGACGATTTTACTAAAAGTCAGTGTGCAATGTTGCAGATATATTATATGAATCATCATATTACTTATATAATAACATGTATGTAAACTAATCTCTATAAATAAATGTTCATTTAGAAGCTGCATAACATTAACTGATAAAATTTCCCTCAGTGAATTTGTATGCCTTTCAATATCCTGCAGAACAGGTATTTTTATAGTAATGTTTATTCCTTATTTAACATTAAGAAAAGATTGTGATCTGCTGCTTGATTCTAAAGAAGTCATAAGTAAGCTGATGGTTTAGCTTTAACATGAGATGTGGTATGTTTACTTTTATACATTTACACATAAAGTTAACCACATGCTGACCGTCCCGTGATTAAAGAGGTAGCACTTTGTACACTTTAAAAACAACATAATTCTGTTTCCCTTAAAATGTATTTTGACAGAAGACATGAGTCTGAATATAATTTTGCATCAGACTGTGAGGAGAAGAGAACACGAGGCTGCTCAACATTAGAAATATGTCATAAGGTCATCCAAGCATGCTTTACAATTCTTCTTCTCCAAATATTGAAGAGATCATAGTTTTAAAAACGAATCGGGTTTCACTTTTTCATTATCTCTTTATTTGTCATTATACTCCTCACATCTCTTCATTAATGTTAATATTTTGGAGGCTAATTGCTCGGTGTGATCACTGCACATCCCATCTCTCTCTCCCTCTGTCTCTCTCTCTCCCCCTCGCTGTCTCTGAAACCCTCACTACACCGGTGATCGCTTTATAATGGCTTCCACACTCAACCTTACATCTGCCTCTCTCTCCCTCTGTGACTCCGTGTCCCTGTTAATGTGCTTCGTGCAGGCCTGAGTCTGGTGGTGGGCCTGGTGCTCTACATCTCCAGCATTAATGACGAGGTGATGAACCGGCCAAGGGAGCCCGAGCAGTTCTTCAACTACTACTACGGCTGGTCCTTCGCCTTCGCTGCCTCCTCCTTCCTGCTCAAAGAGGTCGGTCTGGGCATGTGTGTGTAAGAGAGAAAAACATGGAGGGAAAGGTGTGTTTGTGTGGAATATGCTGCTCACGTCGAACATATATTAATTTCTAGTGCCTGGCAGATGTTCCCTGGAGTGCAGGGATATGAAGTGTGAGTGGTTATGATGCAAAACTGCAGGGTTTGTGTGTGTCTGCGTGCGTCCTCACGTGTGCAGCCCTGCTTGATGCAGTGTCATGTGAGTCCTCTGCTCATCCTCCCACCTCCTCTCACTCCTCCTCCATCAGCCTCTTTCCCATCATCATCAGCAGTGCTGCTCTTAATGTGATGCAGTGGACAGTTCAACACAAACTAACCTCCTCCCCTCCTCCCCCCCCGCTCCCCTCTTTCCCCACACTCTTATTTCCTTCTTTTGCTATTTTGTATACAGTTAAATTTAAGCTAATCTTGAATCCTTCCATCTGGAAAAAGTGCACACCTTCTTCCTCCCTCATCATTTCACCTCATTTTTCATCTGATTAAATCACCATCACTTGTAAACAGATGAGATCAGTTCATGGGACTAAATCCCCCCCCTTATCTCTCGCTGATTTATTCATCAGGGGGCCGGGGTGCTGTCAGTCTACCTGTTTATGAAGCGTTATGCTGAGGAGGAGATGTACCGCCCCCACCCTGCTCTCTATCATCCCCGCCTGTCCGACAGCAGTGACTACAGTGGCCAGTTCCTCCACCCAGAATCCTCCTGGCCCCCGCCAAAGCGCGGCCGCAGCACCTCCGAGGCCTCCAGTGACATCTCCATCCAGCTCAACCAGGCGCCACCGGTTCCGTCCAAGAGCAAGCTTCAAACAGGCGCCCATGGAAGCCCACCCTCTGGCTCCTCCTCTGCAGGGAGCTACCCTCAGTCTGCTGGTTACCCCTCCACACACACACTGCCCAGGTCACACTCCTCACATCCCCAGGGTCAGGCCCTTCCCATGCCCCCATCACCTGTGCCTCCTCCTCACTATCATGCACACATGCAGATGAGCGCCTCCCCCTGTTAGGAAGAGAGCGCACTGTGGAGGTAAGGAGAGACACAGACTCCTCATATTCATGTATGCTGTACATTTAGATGTGGAACAGACTAAACACTGAGCTTGGATCATTTGAGATGAAGAGGCGAGAAAATGTAGCTTTAGAACAACCTGAAGACAAAAGAGATTGCACAGATTGAAAAGGAAGATTTTACAGAAAGGGGCGATGAATGAATCGAGGAATTCAGATTTTCATGAAGGAAAAAGAGACAAAAGACGGTAGAGGTGAGGTTGAGCGACAGAGGAGATGCAGGAGAGGCAGAGCGAGGCAGGGAGAGAGAGCGAGGAGCTGCAGTAAAATACGAAGATGCTGCAGTGCTGCGGGAAATTTGTATGCACTTGGAAATGTACAATGTAAAGCACTGATCACAGAGACTGAGGATGCACATAGTTTTATACATACGTAATTCATAAAAGTAAGCGGACTGCGAGCCTTTTTTCTAAAAGGTAAATATGAATAATATATTCTTGTCTTCTATGAATTTCTTACATCATCAATCCAGTTTCATGACTCACAATGTCAAAGCAGTATCATAATATTATTATAAATCAAAAGATATTTATTACAATATAGAGTAATTCTGACATGAGAACACTATATGTGAACGATGTTGACGTTTGTAAACAGAACACAGAAGTGGATGGTTTAAAAAATATCAGGAGGACAAAACTTTAGGTTTTTACATATATGTTTGAGATACAAAGTTGTGACTTCTTGAACATTAAAGTGCACATGAGGACGCCCATACAGATGTTGTAAATTATAAATAAAGCTTTGACCGAAGTCACACCTGGAGGATATCTGACTCATTCTGCTTCGGACAAAGACGAGCTACAGTCCACATCAGATACTGTACACATCAGGCTGGTTTCACACAGGGACCACTCCACAGTGACACAGGGGTCTAATGCCCTCTACTGGTCACTGCTCTGCACTGACCCTGGACCAGATGTGGGTCTAGTTCACCACTGGAGCTGCTGTTTGTCCAGATGTGGAGTTGCAGTAAATGTCATGGGGCAATGAGACGTTTTGAGCATGTGACAGAGACATGTGTGTTTTACAGAGCAGTTCAAAGTATTTTTTAAACTTCAAACGCTGTGTATATATATATCTGGAAAACTCACATGATAAAAGTATAAATACAATTTTCTCTCACTGCTCATAGGACGATACCACTGTCTGTGACATGCAGGTCCTCTAGCTTTAACATTTCACAGACAAAGTAATGGCCACTACTTTATCCCAACATATTTGATTGAATGCATCATACCATATATTCTTAGAGGGTAAAAATAAATGGCAGTGATGAAAATGTGATCCTGAGTGTTTAGGACCGCAGCCTTTGATTGTCTTTGTAAAGAGCCAATTTATTATTTTGTTGGCCCCCGTTGAATATTTAGAACGTGATATAAACATTTAATAAATCATCTGTAACATAAGCAGAAGTGGTTCATATTCACATATTTGTCAACATCTGTAACTCTGTTGGCAGGAGGCTGGTGAACAAACAGATAATGAATGACAATACAATAAACAGTTTGATAGCACGTAACGCTTGAAGCTATAATTGTTAAATACTGTGTGTTAATTGATTATTAATTAGTAATTTACTGAAAAAAAATGGCAAAAAAATATCTTTAAAGCTGCTTACAACGACTGCACAATGTGTTAAGACACTTTTATTAAATGTTGGTATGCTGTAAAACAATTCAATAATTCAACCAAATTAATGATATTCCTTCATTTACTTCATTTACAAAAACTATTGATTCATTATTTCTAATCTAAGCTCTGAATGCATTACTCTTTTTTTGAAAAGATAAAATGGTTCTTCCTTTATGGTGGCATTTCCCCCATACACCACTAGGTAGCAGCCTAAATCACAGGACATTACAGAGGCCGTTAGCCTATAACATATGTTGAGCCACCTATGACATGTTATAAATGCATTTTAGCAAAACAAGCCTGTATTCTTTTTTGGTTTTCTAGTATATTTATCTGGAGAATTGTAGTAATGCTCTGACAAAGCTGCTCAAACACTCTATTATATATCATATGTAATAATATTCTGCTCAGAAACCGAGGACCTGCATGTCAGAAACAATGGTATTTTAATTTAGAATATTCACATTTAGTTAATTAGTTTTTTTAAGGCACATCATACATATAGAGATATGCAGACATTGGTGTATCTCTGTAATGAGAGTCAAACCACAGTGTCATTGTGTAATGGTTGGTTTTCATTATCACTGTGATGCTTGAGAGAGGGAAACACACTGACGTCCTGCAGGTGATGTGTGTGAAGACGTAAAGTGAGCTCTTTAAAATATCATCGTTTTGTTTTGCAGAACTTTGTTAATCATGAACAAGTTTTTTTTAAACACCCTCCTGCTTTTTGTTTATGCGGTTGCACAAATCCAAACTGAGGTGAAGGCTAGTGTCGCTACAGCTGCTGCTCTTACAGTCAGAGGGTAAAGTGCCTTGCTCAAGGGCATTTCAGCCGAAGCTGTTGAAGAAGATCACACTATATCCCTTTCTAGATTTGACCAGCCATCAGGCATCGAAATATCTGAGTTAGTCCACTCTCTAACCTTTAGACCCCTGACCTCTGTGACTGTGGGCAGCTGAGCAGCATTTCGGTTGTTCTTTAACACTTAACTTTCCATTATAATGTCAGGAATTATTCACTCATCATGTGGTGCCTGTTAAACTGCAGCAGTTCTTTTCTTTTTCATCTCTGTACCTTTGTTTTTCCCTCTCAGCCCCCAGCTCTCTTCTTTCTTTGCCTCCATAAGGGTGTAGCTGTGCACGTTTCTGCAGAAAGACCAAGTCTTCTTGCACATGAAAAGAAAAAATGGATGAAACCAATGTTTTTCAATGCTTCAACGCTGTATAATCTGGGTTATAGACGACATGATTCAGTAGAAGTTGTAATAAGATCACTTGTTGTTGAAAGTGTTGACTCACTTTCCTCACTTTTCTCTGATATTATTGAATTAAACTTTAACATGGATTCATTTCACCCTGTCTGTTTCCTCACTGGTTATTTTTGCCATGATGTGTTTCTATGTGGATACATTCTCTAGAAGTTTTGCATTTTGATGTAGTAAGAAGAGCACACCATGCACTGGTTATATTTTCTGGCTGGTGTCAGTGACGGAGGGAGTCACTGTGTGTGAGTTCACACCACACTGTAGTGAACCATGGATGTTAACCCGACTCCCTCCTCAGTCACGGCAAATCCAACACAGCCTGAGGGCAGCCATTGATCAGAGCGGTTTACGAGTGTATGTGCGCTTGTGTGTGGCTGCATTTGTTGCTGTATGTGTTTGCATATGTATGAAGGTTAAAAACTGTTTATTATAATCATCCTGAAACTAAAGTACAACTGTATAAAGTTAGAATTAATTGTGATGTTAATTATCATCTAGTAAGGAAGTAAAAAATCTTCATATCTTCAAAGTTTTAAATAGGAAGTCAAGGTCAAAATGCGATGGAGCCATATAAGTGGATTAGTATATGGATGAAATAACGAGCAATATGTCGTTTCTGACCAAACAGAGAGTGAAAATAATGTCAAATTAAATTTTTAACACTAATTTCAAACTGTTAGTTTTGCACAACTTTAAAATTCTGGACTGTCAATTCACATTTCTCCACATTCTGTAGAGTTATTGAGAACATTTGGTTAAATTAAATATAGGAAGTTGAATTCATCACAATAAAATGGTGCTAAATGTAAAATACATTTGACCTACATCATCCTTGATATGGTAAATTACCAATCCTCCTTTCATCTAAAATATCTTGGTGGGAAAGTTGGCTGTTGTGACTTCATTGTGAAAACATGACCCTAATATAATGTCTTTTTTAACTTTTCAAATCATATAATTGTGATTTAAAGTTGAAATTTCAATTGTAGTATAAATAAGTGTATTTCAAACCCACACCCAAAACTTTACCTGAATAACAACTTCATTTACTTGCAAAACTTTATTACACATAATATAATACTTATGTTTTCATTGTTATCTTTAAAAATACACCCATTCACATACACAATCACATGCATGAATCCAGTGTTTTTACATGAATAACAAAAGTGATGTACAACTGCAGCCTGGGAAATTATTTGTGGGCATCATTTACAAATTCACCATATCAATGACCCTAATCTGACATATTTACTTACATTGTTAACATCACATTTTACATTATTCATCCATCTCCACTTTATCCAGCTCGCAACTTCAGGTGCTTCATACAAAGTCAAGGAAGCAACACAGTTTTCAGAGGGCAGCGTTCCGTCTGCTATTTCTACAGATTTTGTATTCCTGTTTGTTTGTGTGTGTGTGTGTGTGTGTGTGTGTGTGTGTGTGTGTGTGTGTGTGTGTGTGTGTGTGTGTGTGTGTGTGTGTGTGTTTTAATGTTAGGGAGCTAGAGATGTTACATTAGGAAGTCAAACATCGAACATCCACAGGTCAGTGAAACTAAAATGCGTGAGCACTCTGATGTCTGACTTCTACAACTGTGTGCGTGTGTGTGTGTGTTTGTTTGCGTGTGTGTGTATGTGTATACTCTCCTGGTGAATGAAGACTGACTGCTGGTGACATGTGGTTGTTGTGTGGTCAGTTTTCTGTAATAGTGTGCTTATCACTGCATCTGTGTGTGTGTGCGTGCAGAGGCATGTGTGTGTATTTGCTTCTCTCTTTCTCTTTTGTTTGTCTGTGTATATGTGTTTTAGTGTGTGTTTGACTTGTGTATGTGCGTGTGTGTCTATGAGTGTATGTTCATGTGTGTGTGTTAGTGTGGGTTGAGTGGATCTCTCTTTTCACCATCACCATTACTGCATGAAAGACCTGTCACTCTGCATTAGCTCTCTTGTGTGTCTGTGCGTGTGTGTGTGTGTGTTTGTGTGTGTGTGTGTGTGTTTGAGAGAGAGAGAGAGAGAGAGAGAGAGAGGTGAACTGGGCAGCAAAGCCATTTTAAAGCTATTGAAGGTCATTGTCTGCTCAGTTTTGTGCATCCTATGTGTGCGACCAGCAGCTCAGCCATTGGCTCTGTCTTTATAGATCTGTGCATGATGACATAATCTGGTCTATATCACAAACACAGACACCGATCATCAATACAGTCACGTGACATAATAATGGCAAAAGTGATCAATAATCTATTATTATACAGCTACTACTGCATTTCTGTCTATATCAATAAACACACTGATATTTACCTGTAGATATTTGACTCTCTCTCTCTCTCTCTCTCTCTCCCTCTCTGCAGGGCTGCGCTCCTGCTGCATTTTCCAGAACTACCAGCGCGGCCATCATCATCATCATCATCATCATCATCATCATCATCATCATCACCATGACCACAGAGGAAAAGTGTCCCACCGGCGCTTCATCCAGTCGCTCTCTAGCAAAAAAAATAATATCGACATCAATAACACACACACACACACACACACACACACACACACACACACACACACACACACACATTAGCTGGTCAGGGCTAATAGGCTACTTACAGGCGCGCACAGCCTCGCGCGTCCTGGCTGCACACGCTCCAATAAGCACATCCTACCGGTTTCCTCAGTGTGAGAGAAGAGAGTGCGTGTGCGTGTATGCGTGTGCATGTGTGTGATTGTGTGCGTGGGTTTCATACACACATCACCATGTGTTGATCGCTCGCGCTATGAGCAGAGTTTTGTTGGGATGCGACAAGTTGCTTGCGTCGTCGGGCACGCGCGCGTGTGCAAGGGAAATAGATCGCGGGGCAGACAGGCGGGCATGCGCGCACTCGTCCAACCGGAGGGGAGGATGAAGGGAGGAGGGGGAGGAGGTGGGGGACGCATTCTCCCTGAGTACACACACACACACACACACACACACACAAGCAGCGGCCACATCCACTGTGGACAAATCCGTGTTCAGTGACGTGTTTTGTATTAGCCCCTCTTCTTCTTCTTCTTCCTCTTCTTCCTCTTTTGAACGCACGTTCATCCCTTCTTTTCCTCCATCACTGGCTGATTTGAATTCACTCAGGATTATTTCACTTCTCTCCTTCCCTGCGTGCTCCTTATTTCCATCACTCCTTTTTTGTTCCATTTATTTATTTCTTTGCCTCGATAGACCCGTTATTCTACCCCTCCACCCCCTCACTCTCTCTTCTCTCTCTCTCTCTCTCTCTCTCTCTCTCTCTCCCCCTCTCCCCCTCTCTCTCTCTCTCTCTCTCTCTCTCTCTCTCTCTCTCTCTCTCTCTCTCTCTTTTCTCCTCCTTTTGTGCCGCGCTGCGATTTGGTGAAATAAACACGGGCTGCAGGTAAGATCTCTCCACGCTTCTTCTCTTTTTTCCTCCATCATCACAATCCCTCTCCGCTGTTTTCACTCGGCGCATCACACTCTGTCATTCACACGCCACATTGATTGTGTTTCACGTTGCCTGTAACTTAGCGCTCACTACACTGACAGCGCTGAATTTACAGAGAATCGTGTAATGACGGTGTGATCATCCTCCTCAATGGAATCATCGTTTTCCCACCTATCTTCGCTCGGGCCTATAATTAGCGACGGAAGCGTCTATTATGCAAATGGCAGCCTTATAATAATAGCTCGGATGGTCTTTCTTCTCTTTGCATCCGCACCGCAGCTGCATGGGGATAAAATTATGTGTTTGCAGGATGAGCCGTTAATTCTGTGCATGTGGATCTGCGTCTGAAATGTGTGATTTGTGTCCCAGTCCACTGAGTTTCATCTGAACCGGCCGCTTCATGCTAGGCGTCCATTTTCCACCGTGCAGCCTCTGCAGGGTGATGTGTGGAGCTGACTCTGTTAATGAATGCACCGCAGTCCGCATCACTATACTTGAGCTTTGCACGCTCCCAGTAGCTGCGAGCTCGTAGCCTCTGTGTCTAATCACTGGTCTGCACAGCATCTGCTTCTCTGCAGCTCCTCTCAGTGCAGGGCCAGCATCGCACACATCATGCAATCTGAGGATCCTTCTCCATCCAGCCCACTGTCCTCCCCTCAACCTGTGCTCTGACAGACCCAGAGGTAAAGGCCACCGAAACATCTGGCACCCCATCCATCATTCACTCTTCACTGCAGCTCACATCACATCATGGGGCTGAATGAAATGACTTGGATTGGAGATGCTACAGGAGTGTGCACTGCAGCACCCAGGAGTTACTCTGCACTCTGTTACTCTGAGTTAGACCTGCGTCCTCACCGGGGGCTGCAGACCACATAGGTGCTTCATTATCCGATGCTCTTATACCCTGTTATGGTCATTTCGGTGACTATAGCACAAGCTTTTCCCCACTGAGCTGAGCTTTTGATTTAGCTGCTGCGTCTCTTTAGGTCTGGCCTTTGTCAAAGCCAGCGTTAATAACAGCAGCCGCTCCTTTATGGTTTTAATGCAGATCCACTCTGCTCTCAGTCATAGTTTTACTGTTGAACTGTGGGATATTTAGATTACTCCACTTCATGTGTGAAGTGCCTGTGTCAGAGAGTGGGCACTGGCTGCCAGCCTAATAGTAATTTTTGCACATTGAAATATCACTAAGTTCACATAGTAAACATATACGAGCATTAATCATACAATCAATTAATGATTAATTCATAATGAGCAGATGCATCATTGCCATGTGTGGTTCATATTAAATAAGTTAAACTCTAGTCTGCACATGAACTGCAGTATTAGGACTTTTCACAAGACTTTGAACTAGATTGGCACTCAGCTTACCTCCACATATCAACATACAAACAGAATTTTAATGTTGTAAATCTACATAATCTAGAAAGATGCATCATATGTTATTAACAGATTATTTACTTTGTTCATTAAATCTTAATATATAAAGTAACAATAATGACACTCAGCATACATAACATTCCTTCACCAAGGCCCAACTTAAATTCAGTTAAGCAGAAC